CCCCCCCATCTACCGCCTCTACGTTTTTACTGTCTCAGAACTATTGGGGGAATTGTTTTGTGGCCTCTCATAGTAGTTCGTCGCGTGATCGTCCACCTTTCTGTTGTATACTTTATTGTTCTGGGTGACTAACTTCTGCCTAACTAGGCCCCTCGTTAGTTTTGTTTAGATTAAGCTACTCGTGACTAATAGACCCTTTGTAGATATTCTGTTAACTTCTTTTTGACTTCGAAATCTTCTTGATTTGTTGTTCTCTCGTGTTAAAAATGAGTAAATTGTGTCGTTAACCTTACCCCTTTTGGGCTTGTAAAATCTACCGATCAACAAAACTATTTTCAACTGCCTTGAGTGCATTATATTTCATTCGTCACCATTATTCATAAAGCTTTTTTACTTCTTGCCCTTTACCTTAATTCAGTCTTTTATTTTTCATAGGAGTTCTTCAAGTTTCCATGCTTTCAGACAAATGTTGGTACAGGAACTTTTGTGCAATTTTGTGGCATCTTCTCCTTTAGCATGACCTGTCTTCCACGGTCTTACTACCCCTTGATTTGAAGACCTAGGATTTTGCACAGAAGCCTCGTTACTAGGGGGTTAATTGACACCATGAATCCGAGCTGTGACCGTGACAGACTGACGCGGTCTAGCATCCATAAACGTTGGCTGACTTTCTTCACCCTGTCGCCTAAGAATTCGTAGTCACTGAAGCCCAAGTTGCCACGGTCAATATGCTCGCGAATAGGTCGCGGACATGGTGGAAGTACTCACAGAACAGTGCTCAAGCCGTTTTTGTCCTAGATCAATTTAAAATAAATCGGCTTAGGTTCTTTAGATCCCCGGCTGTGACCATTACAGTAATGACTGAGACAAACCATATCTTGAATAGTCTTGTTCGTTTTTATACTTCTAGGCGAAGAGCTGTCACCCTCTTTTCCACGTAGTGCCATGATAATCCAGTAGATGAATACGTTTTTATCTGTACTACAGGCACTGACTAATCGGGACAGTCTTCCACAACCGTTTTGCTCAGCTCATCTCTCACATGAATTCAACGAAGGCATCCACCGAGGTCGGTGTGGCTGCTGCCGGAAAGAACGCGGCCGCCGGGCTACAGAGAAAAGAATCTGAAGCCGAACTTGAGACGTGGTGGCAGGATTTTTTGGCTAGAAAAAAGATCGAGGACGCTGCTGACGAGGATGCTAAAACAGCATGGGAGACATGTGCTCAGCGCAAAATGAAGTTCATTCGTGAAGTGCGTCTCCTCACGGACCTCTATGAGCCGATTGGGAAGCAAGTACAGACCATTCTCAGCTCTGATCACGACCATCGGGGTGAGAGGCTCTATCGAGA